AAATTAGATACATTTATGGTGCTCGAATATCTCTGGTATTCTGATTCCTTTCTAACTGACATATCTTTTGTGTAGTTCAAAAAACGTGCCTCCAGTGTCTGTTCTCACAGCTCTATTATTCATTGAGAAACTTGTAGTAGCCGATCCTTATTCATCTTTATTGACTGAAGTTACAGCAGTTGATCTTTTTGCTGTATCAATGGTTAGTGAAATGTGATGTAATTATTTTAACTTCTTCAAGGTAGTGGCATCTAAATATCTACATGACGATGATACGGACTATGGAATGTACAATACAGAATGGGCAGACGAATTCGATATGGATCTCAAAGAGTTGAATGAACTTGAAGTCAAATTCGTTTCCGCTCTTAATTGGGAGTTTTTTGTAACTAGAGCACAAATACTCCAATTTGGTTTTGAGATCGGGGTCTTCCGTCAGATTACCAAGTGTGATTCATTTGGCGATAAACCTGAGTTCAATGTATATTCTATGTTGTCACATATTTCCCAAATCTTTTTGAAGTATTCTAGGCACCGTACTTCACCCGAAATTAAGAGAGTAAGCAAAGTGAGTTTTTGTTTTCGCACGAACTGTGAAAGGTGTCCTGTTATTTATCAAGTGAAATATGATGTAATATCAATTTGAATATTTATAATAACCAAATAACTGAATCTGCACGTCTTTTAACTTACATCAAGTCATGTGTGTGCAATTAAGTTAGTCAACTATCTTGAATTACTCTGAGTCAGTGTTACGCCGATTTTATTTGCCTGGATTATGGACTTCGACCAAAAGTTAACCAACAGGGAAGATGTTACATTTCGTGTATGGATGTAATGGTCAGCATTAAAAATTTGTCTTAATTCGATGAAGAGACTAACTAGCTGAATGCTTGTGTCGGTTATGATCAGTCTCTCAATTGTTTGAGAAGTAATAAGAGACTATTATTAATATCCAGTGAATTTTAGGTGTGAAATGCATTCATTTTGCAACTTTTAGTTTAACCTAATCATTCTTGTGTTGATAAAGTTATAAAAGAGTTCTGTTTGTCTAACCGTCATCTGTTTACTTGCACTTTTAAACCGTAGTTGTTTTACTTTCAGATTCTATTAGTCTTGGTGCTCGCTTATCTGGGTACTGACCAATTTTCTCAATGTTCTTTGGAGACACAATACGCTGATCAAAATCAAACACATATTTCTGCAATCGTTGTAGATCAATGTCCAGATAATATTCTGTCAAATATGACTCATTCAGACGAGCTAACAAATGTTACTAACCAAAATATTGAAGTATGTACAAAAGACTTGACATGCAGATATCATAGCCAACATGAATCCGTATCTTACTCGTATTTTAAAGAAACTGATCCGACTACACGAATGATAGACTGTCCAACATGAAAGTTTACCCAATTATCTAATTCCTCAAGTATTTCCACTCAGTAAATCTTAATATTTTCCACTATTCAGGTACTCCAAGATTCCCAATGGTACTAACATTTCTATTATTTTAATACCGATCTTCATCAGTTGTGTATATAAAGAAAATGTTTTGAATGTATCCTTCCCTCCACGCTTGTTTTTGATCGTTTTTAATGACTAATCTGAGCAAGTTATGCCAAATACTAAGTGAATGGGATGATATTGTTGCTATCATGTTTTTGTTTTTAAGACACAAACAAGTGTCGTCATTATTAGTAGTCCTAACGAACGACCACTCAAGTGGGGGCAACCGATTGTATTTTAGTGCGAAATTACAGTATCTTGATAAAATATAAAAACCGTACATAAAATACTTCATTTTCAAATTTCCATCACTTGTCCTTCACATTCTATACGATTCTTCCAGTCCATAATCCCTTTCTATTCTCTTCAACTTGATCTTCTGTTGCCCGGTTTTCCACTTCCGATTGGTGTTACATACTACTTATATCCGTCAACATAAGTGGCATACACTACACGTCCTCATCCTAAGGAATGGCATAACAAGAAATTCGTAATTACATTGAAAATGGAATTTTCTGTGAAATTCCTAAATTCCCAGTCATCAATTTGGACCGTTTTCGAAATTGACAGTTAGTGTAGTGTATAATTTAGCTACAGTCAGTAAGCTGCGTTGCCGTTACCTGCCTTGAAAATCGAAGTTTTATTCGACAGCCTAGTTATAATATCACTTTCTATGAAAAAGTGACTAAGATCCGAATATGTGGGCGTAATTGGTTGCCGAGTCACGCCGAATTTAGTCTAAACGAATTGTAGTTTGTTAACATTTGAAGACCTATTACAAACCATCTTTTCTCCACCATCTTATCCTCTCAGATTTCTCACTTTGTTCTGTTATACACTGGTTCTTCAAGTATCACTGTATATTCGCATAGTCTTGATATTAACAATGAACATATAATGTTGTTTTAAAACCTCTATCCATAGCTCTAAGAATAATTACTTGATTATATACTGATATTGGTTCGTGGAAGAGTGCTTTCAAATCAAACGAACTCCTTACAAACCCACCTATGCAAATAATAATTACGTGCCCACTGAGGACGACTTCTTTCTTTCTGTTGGGGACGTTAGATCCCCAGAACTCACTTGAGGAAGCATCTGATTTTGTAATTTTATTTAGAATATTTGAGTTCCTTTGTTCTCACGCCAAAAGCTCTCTTGTCACCATGTCGTATTTCCCACTGCGAAATATCTTAAATGCTATTGGTCCGTTGTGTCTTTTAGTATTGTATTTGGTAACTCTCCCCAAGGACGGTTTTGTACTGTATATGTACGTTTTGAATTATGTTTGTTGTTATCACTCGTTTCTGGCTGTTTGCAGAATATACTTCCCCATTCCAAGCTTGGACTTCTTCCTCTAGGTAGCGGGGCTGGGGCGCATCAAATAGCTAGCTGGTCTTTGTTCTCGTTCGCAGATTAAGTGAACTCGTGATAGCTTCAACCCTAGCACTTTCATCTTCCGATTAACCGTGTGAGAGCGTGATTTTTAGTTAACCAAGTTGAGCATGCGGATTACTCCTTTATAACATTGGGCGGTAGTTGCACTGGATCACAGACTAACCGAAGCTGGAAAACGTAGATCATTAGTATCTAAGTAGTGGCAGGATGGTGTCGCCATGGAAGCAAGACCTACAGTTTGCGGTTTTGTTTTAGCACGGACAGTTGGGAACGTGGACAAAGTAGGTGCTAAGAGCCTTCTATTTTGTATTTTTGTTGAAATTCGCCACATTTTAGTGGTTCAAGTAGATAAATTTATGATAATTATTTGACCCAGCAGTCGGCAGATACATCGAGGACTTAAGAATTCGAAACTAGTGTTCCAATGATCCTTGTGAACAAAAGTACACGAACCAGGAGTCCCGAATACTAACCGCTAAACTTGATTTACTTCATATAAAATGATCGGTTCCGTAGTCGCTTAACGTCTAACTGCAGCCCTCAAGCGTGCTAGTTCGGCTGAGCGCGGGGATAAAAAGTCGGCTGTAGTACTTATCATCAATAGATGTCTAAATGATTACTTGAATGTACTACCCTTAACTCCCATTGTTTTCCAGTTCGTACGAAACGTGTAAAAGACTTACTCATAAGGAACAGGCCATTTTTCGTTTAAATGGTGAATATACCGATTACGCCACCAACCCCATCAGATAATCCAGCATCGTCACATGCATAACACACCAACAATCATCGTTTCGTAACAATAGAACTGCCTTTCATTCGCTGTACACGATTTTACTATGGAAATACGTGGATGCCTCCTAGGTTTATAAAGACATATACGAAGTAGGTCCTGGCGCACATACAGCGATAGAGAAAGCCTCTCTACTGATGTTCTAGGAACAGTTCTGACTTTTTTAGATTGTATCTAAGCACAGCTAGGGAAATAGAAGCAGAGAAACTAGGGGAGTATATGTATCTCTATATGCGTATTTGGAGCAAATAGACACAAGACAAACGAGTGTTATTTCTACGAGTAGCTTTTACTGTAGTTAAATTAAGATTAGATTTATTTATCATTGAATGTTCCAAAATGTAGAGCTAAGCAAACAGTAACCGAGGATTTTCGCTTCCAGATTTTAAAATATTGAGCAGCCGCAGCTGAGGTTTATGTAACTATATTCCAATAAAAATTTATGTGATGATTTTAGTGATTTATTCTGTACAATCAAGTATTTCAGTAACTTTAGCTAGTGAACTATCATTGTTTGCATACTGTTTTTTATTTGTCTCTCTTTCTCCTGACGGAAGTTCAACTGGTTGATTTTACGTATCTTTCGTCGCAGTTGACGGTGTTCCTTGATAGCGGCTTTACGTAAGCGCTTTTGTTCTAAAGACTCTCCCTTTTCTCTCGCAAGTAACCCAGGGTCTAGCGGTTTTGGAAATTCCATAATACCATCGTTGTTTTGAGAACCTTCCTTCGTGGATGACTTCTTTTTCGTCTTACTAGAACTGGGCATTGTTAGATGGTTGTGCTTCATAACATTTAGGTTCGAATTACCTATTAAAAAGTACATAGTTAAAAATCGAGTTAAAAAGTAATTATAGCTAAAACTGTATAGCGATTATTTCTCTATATTCACACCTTGAATAACTTTAACTGATCACATATTCAGTTAGAAGTCACGATCAACATAGAACCTGACACGTCTCCACTAGCCAAAGTTTTCATAACACATTAGCACGACGAAATGAACAGCGAAGGAGTCGAAATAATGAGACCAGTGATAATGAAACAGACTCAGCATAAACAATATGGTTAGTGAAGAATAAACAAAAAGACATGAAGGAATACGGAAAATAAAGAGGGAATGGGTCTCCGTCATTGTGACCCATTCCAAGCTATACCACCTAATATCTTCAACTACTGAGGCAGTTGTTGAGAGGAATCGGATTGCAGATAGTGTGCCCATAGGACAGATGTTGACGCAGACCAGTCCTGAAACATTTTACATTCGGAGGGAAACACAATAAAAAAACTCGTTGACATCTTCATCAAATAAGACTATCATCTGCGCATTCGATGTCGATAAACAAACCTGGTAGGAGACCAAGTCCTGATAAGTTGTTTGAGAATGCCATTTCTAGAACATCGACGACAAAATTAGATGGGAATAGCGGAAGCTATTAATCGCTGTTTCTCGATATCAAGGCCGTCTTCAGTCAGTCGGGTAGGATTGTGTTCTAAGACCACCTGTTGAAGAAGTGTCTTAAGAAGTTAATTAACATCTTGAAAGTTTTTTACATAGACAACTCAGGCAGACTGAGAGGATACACCACATCTCTCTACTTTTCCATTCCAGCAGTAGGGTTAAGCAGTTTCTTAGTCTTATCATTCCCCAACTTTGCAGCTGGTGAAATTCTGCAAACAGAGTGGGTGGTGGGAGTCTAGATCTGTTACCTGGAGTGGAACCTGACTAAACTAATGACACCGTATTTTGTGCAACGATACCAATTATTGATTTGCTACTTTTCTCTCCTTTATTTTATTCACGGTATTATAGCTTTAATTCTGGTGTTTCGGTGGCTTACTTTATCAGGAATTATTTGATTAGGTGGATATATTAGATGTTAATCGAATCAAAACCCTGAGGACTAAAGGTCAATTTATTAAACCATGAATCAATATGTACATTCATGAGATAAAACCATAAATGAGACACAATGTCTACTATGTCTTAATTAACCTTTTTACTATACTTTTGCATAGTGACAGTGTGGAGATTGTTGAATTTATACTTTGTATCATTTCAGTTAGGTAACCAGAAAGCATTGAACATTTGTTTAGTTTTATTATAGGACTCCACAGCAGTGGGTATCCACGATAACACAAAATATCTAACTCAAGACCTTCTAACTTTTCGGCACTCAGTGACCTACATTCCCAACTTCGGTCAATTCACGATCATCATGCAGTTGAATCGGTGATATTCGTCCTACACCTGGCAGTTTTTCAAAATGTTATATCAGCGCTAATAAATGTTAACCCACCAACTCATATACATAAGTAGTGTATTTTCTTAAAATAAAACGCTTTTTTGATACTGTTTGCATCACGAAAATGCGTCTAAACTAATGAAAATAAGAAAAATGCTTACTGTTAGGACATGAAATGGTCATTTGTTCAGTGTTTTCTCCGTCATATGTGGAATTGCTTCCACTGTCTTCGTCTTGATCCACTCCATTCAATTCGAAACATTTTTCTATTGTTATGGCTTTTAGATCATCATCAAAATCCGTATGATCTTGTTTTACTCCCCTTAAATGAACAAAATGAGGATTTGAGGTGATAAGTAGTTACTCCGATAATATATCTATATATAAGCATATATGTGCATACCAGCTGATCAAGTACGATATAACTGTTAACTCCATAGACTTGTTCAGGAAATTTTCCTGATGCATAGAAAGCAAATAATAAGTGTGGAGTGTTTGTTTCTTTCTACTCTAGGGATGAATAAGTAAACACTGTACGATTAAATACTTTACATTTTCATGTCGAAAACAATTGTTACTCGGTATCTGGACCCAAGTTTCTACATTAAGCTTCAAGTCGCACTTATGAGAGAACGGCTAAAACCAAGGTAAATGGAACGCACTTTTAGACAATAACTATCAATAGCTGATTGTTTAAACCACTAAGTCACAGAGTTCCATTTTGTGAACATTAAAGTACTAATATTAGCTTTCACATACAAACCTTACCAGCTGCAGCAATAATAGAGGTGAATTGCAGTCTACAATTTTGTTTCATCATCGCGACCGCCTACTTTTTGGATTTACATACAATAACAGCTATATTTTCCAAATAAACGACTTACCCCTTAGCAATTGCTATGTCACGACCAAGAGCATATTTCAAGCCTTCGCTCATCACTGACGTTCCAGAGACTAAAGACTGACTGCAACTTGACCGGGATTTGTATCGTAACATTAACTAAAGTCATAGTATGAGTAATCGAGTTTGTAAATTACCTTTTCGAACTCTTTATTCAAGGAGGTTGAGTCATCTGGGTAGTCATCGATTCCGTAACCCTTGGTAAATTGCCCGGAGCTCGAAATTGTGATATCTGAATTTTCGTTGGCACCGTAAAGAAAACGTTCCATGAGCGCGACTTTATCTTTAGAAACCCTTGAGATATCTGTTTCTGTTGCCTTTGCATTCAATGGATTGCTGTCCCCAGCCATTTTAGCATCATCACTATCGGTTTCTGAAGATTTTACACTGTGACCACCTGCAAGCTCGACAAAGTTATCCTCTAATTCACTTTCCGTGTCGAAAGACTCTGCTTCTGAATCCATATTAAGGTCATTTATAATATGTTCATCGTAATCAACTTCAGGTTCACGTATTCCAGATGAGTCAGAATGACTAGAAGCATTGCTGACACAATCTTCAGGTATTACAGATATAGTCTGGAAATAAAGTAAAGATAGATGAATGTAGGACATGAGAACGGTATGGAATATAAGTTATGTCTGAACATTGTACAGGGTATCACATGTCATAGATGGGTAATTCACGTGATCCTATGTAATAAAAATACATAAACCCTAAATCAACACAAACTACGATGAGACCATAACTTATAGACGATTTTTGAGCGATTATAAGGTAACCTTGGTAGGGTTCAACCACTTAACAAGATCAGAATATGGTTGCAAATTATTGAGATTAGGAAAAGCCACCAGCATCGTGATTAAGGTTTGAGAATTAGTCACAGTGTTCATTACGAACCGGCATCAGCTGTAGCGCTAGGACCCTATTCAGTCAATAGATAAGTGAATTTCAACCAGATATACAAGCGCTGTCTTAAATCTGATTGGTTGGTCAATGAAAAAACATTTCACTCTTCCGCGGTTTCACAGTCTGTGTTTATAGGACAAGAATGAAAAACGTTACCTTCAAGGTTAGCAGAGGCTATCTTATTTTCATAAGTTACGTCAAAAGATTAAATTCCGGAACTTACGTAGGCCTCTTTATTATCAGCAGATTTGAGATGTTGCATGTAGTCGTACCCATCATCAAAAAACACTCCATAGTTAAAATGAATAGGGACTCCTGGCAAGGGTTTCGATAATTCCTTTTCGACTGGCTTTAGTTCACACTGTTTGAAATCCTTTCTGCTGAATTTTTTCATCATGAAAGACTAGTTGATTTGTCAGAGAGAGCAAGATGCGCCGAACGTGGCAGCTGATAAATTACTGAAATGACCGCCTATGTAACTCCTCAGTCCATCCACACGGCAAGGTTTAAACGTTAGGTCCTTTTTGAAATGTACCCGCCCTTTCGTTTCAACGACCTTGAACGGCTTGACTAGAGGCGGTCATTCCGTATTTCAATTGCCGTAGGTTGGTTGGATTGCATGAGTATCAAGTTTTTTCATATATAAGTCATCTTATGCTACATAAAAAAGCACGAAATAAATACCAAAACCATTAATTTAGCGTTCTCTGTTTTGTAGTGTACACTTTGGCTCCGTTGTTGCTTTGTAATTTGACCTGTGATCCCAACAACTGTAGTAAAGCTCAACGAAATGTCAAGTCACAGGTAAATCTTAAGTATTTGTAGTATTTCCTTGGGTTATTATTGTTGCAAGGAATAACTTTTTAATAATTAGTCATGTCTGTTTTTAGTGCTTCATGCTCAAGTGACATTTCAGTCGACCTAACCGATGCCTTTCGAAGTATGATACTGAACAAGCGTTTCGTGTTGTCGGATGATTTTGAAAGCGCCTTAAAAGAGTTCCAAAAAGTATGGAATTATAATTTTATCGCTTCTCAGACTACTTATACTCGTTACATCCACACAGAAAGCAGATTGCTGAAGGATGTCAGGTTCAAATACCTGTTTGTATCGTTTAATTGTACGTTTGGTCATAGACGGAAATCGGAAGATTTGAAAGTGAGGCAAAAATCGTAAAATCTTTAACTAGTATCTTATGTTTAAGGTCTAAATTCCGTAATTGTCAATCTAAATTTTGTGTAAGACTAGAGGAGCAAGGATATGTCATCAAATCCTACAACATGCTCCACAATCATCCATGTAGTAGTTCGTGGATGGTATCTGATCCATGGACAAGGAGATTATCGTCAGAAGAAAAGGAGAACTTGAAGCCCGTAATACTTCACTGTGAGTCAGCAGATGAAGTTATCGAAAATATTAAGGAGAGAACTGGTAAGCAAGTAAATGCTGCCGATGCCAAAGGTATGAAAGCTGCACTCTCCACTGGTAAGTGTATATAAATATATTTCAGGTTGTTTTACTCGGAACCAGGTAATGGATATGCTTAGACAGAAAGGCGGAGTGAAGGAACATTTAGAAAATGGATATGCCACTAGAATATGATGTGTCAATATCCCTGCCGTCACATGCTACTTGCCTACGTTAAAAGACGAAATCTTACAGGTAATCTATATCAATTATGAAATACTAACTGCATAGCTCATCAACTTCTTAGGTATTGTAGCAGATGGAAGTTACATAATACCCAGAACTTCCAAAATAATGCATTAACTGCATTACCACGACGGAGTGAAGTGTATATAAGTATTCAACGAAGCCAAAGAATCCGTAAGCATCGCATCATTGAGAAATATGGTGAACGTTTCGCAACGGAAGTTGAGAAGAAAGTGGACAATTATTACTTAAGAATTCTTAATGCCAACTTGTAAACTTGATTTTCTGCTTTAGCAGTAATGATTATTCAATAAACTTTCATAATTTTAATTTTCATCTTATTCCTACTTTCATGGGAATGAATAGCAATGACGTTCATGTGTAACTGTTTGTAATAATTAAGAATGATTAAGAAACCCTACATCCACGTACAGTCTTGCGGATTAGGCACCCACATATCATCTTCACCTTCGTCGGATTACGTTTATAATTAAAATCGTATCAGTAGCTAAGTAGATTTTAATTTCATGTGATTAGTTCCGCTTATGAATTAAAATGAAACCAGGAGAAATGTTGATTAACAGTGGTATGCATTCCTTATAACTAAATATGCATTAGGATTTAACGGTGATGTGGGAAACAGTTGACATACCTTAATATGAATAATTGAAATGACGTGGGTTATCAATAATGACTATATATATATATATATATATATATATATATATATATATATGTGCAGTTTAAGGTCAAAGGTCATTTGTTTTTACAGTCAATAACACATTAAGAATGGGTGGTGTAATAGTGGACTGGAGTTCACAGACACATAAGTGGTGTGAAAATCTTACAGCTTGTAGATGATCCGTGGATTTAGGAACTGAAAACTTGGGTGACGTAATAATTGATTACAATCTGCAGAGGTCACATAATTACAGAGGATTAAGTGACAGGGTGCTGGAATAAATCGGTAACTAAATTTTAAAAGTGAAATGAATTATTACATAATCCATCTTATTACTTGTTCATTCCATGGATTATAAGGAGTTCATAATATTCTTTATCTACATTTGTTCTAGCGTCATATCGACTATTAATAAATACGGACACGGTTTATAAAGTAATACACTGAGTGTAGTTGCTATATTTATATTTCACTAATTCATTAGTTGAATAAAAATGTTACTAGGCAATACGGAACACAGTTAACGTGAACTTGTAAACCGGTTTTTAACATGGTCTTCCATAATCACAAATTCTATAAGTTGTAGACCGGCGTAAACATCATCACAAAGCTTTGACGACTTTATTGGATTCATAGAATTCTGAAAAACAAACAAATCAGCCGTGAAATAAAGAATTAGACCTAGTTATCAGTGTCACATTCAATAAGTCAATCAAATAGCAGGTTACAGAATGTACCTATAAGTCTCTTATTTGCAGACAGCGCTAATCATTAGAGATTTCTATTTCCTTTAATAAAAATTAATAGGTAATCTTTACAACACACAAATCAGTGTTATTTAAAAATTGCTGGAATCAGTTTCGTCACAACATAGAAGCGTGGTCTGACTTATGAAGAAAATGTAATTAATTAATGTGGCATAAAGGAGATATGAATACAAGGAACTTGTGATTGTGCTTCCATTGCTCATTCACTTTTCATCACGTTGTCTTTATGAATTACTTCGGACGAGTCAGTCTGTAATGCAGTAGGAATTCATGAATTAACTCATTAATAGTTGTTTTTTATTCAAGTCTGTGTCGTAACAAGCACTGGGAATTTGTTCAGTGTATAACCCTTGTAGTATTTCGTCTATACATCTGGTATTAGCAAGATAAATTGGTAAGTACCATTTAGATATTACTCGACAATATGCATCATAACTTTGTTCACATTTTCGTCTGCGATTGTGCATTTCGTTTACAGAAAATTATCCGTCAACCCTATAACACACATAAATCGTTATTAAGTACGACATGGTTTTGTCACCATGCTCAGAAGAGACACCCATCGTTTTACTTATGAAGATTTTGTGCCTATTTAATGTGGTGTTATACACTGTTCCTGTATACGTTCAGAAAGCCGGTTAAAAAGACTATCAACGTCAATTGTTGCTCACATAATTTTTTACTGATACGTTACACAATAATATGTCACTTCAGTACAAAACAATGCCACCTATAGTCCAAATAACCTTTTATAGCTAAATACAAACAATTTATATAATATTCATAGTTAGTTTAACGCTTACTTCTTTCTGATTACATTTTATAAACGACTACGAACATCTATGTTTGCCGTCACCATAATCAAGGAGGTGAACCATATATCATGCTTTTTACGGCTTATTTTCATGAAAACTCAATCCGTAATCTATTTTTGACTAGAAAAATGGTGATTTGACTTGTTTGACTTTGTATTCTTAAGAATAACCATATTACGACAACTACATATTTACTTAGGTGGTGAGCACGAAATACGTCAAACTGCTTATAAATTGAAATAAAAACTATCTTCCAATCACAAAGATTACGAGAATTCACGTATGATGGAAAAAAGGCTGTTAATAGCTGATAAATAACGACACATAAAATCCACGACAATATGTTACACGTGCGCGAAAACCCGTAAACTAACACGCATAGTGTGCCCATCCACACTATTACGTCACAGTCCTATTTGCCGCTCTTCAAAGTTCAGATGGTTCTGGACGGAATAGAAGAAGCTTTCGCCTTATGGGCTTCCGTATCTAGTAGCAGTGGATCACCGATACCGACGGATAATAACCTAGGTATATTTAATGGCTGAAAAGAGAGAAAAGTCGGTAAATTATAGCGATGCACAGTCCTTATTCGGATTCAGACTTCGAATTCAGATTTGTGTAGCAAGGACAGAAGGCCTACTGCCCATTTTATTCCTTTTCTAGTATGCTTCTATGAGTGTCCAGTCTTCTCTTGAATGAGACAATTGAAAGTGCAAACACCACTGCTTCGGGTAACAGGTTCCAAGTATTGATGACTCGGTGTGAAAACCTGTATGCCGCGGGTAGTTTGTTCATTCTTGGCTTTTCTACTCGCCTGCTATGTCCTCTGAGATGTCCCGGCCTAGTGAGAAGAAAAAGAGAGGATATGTTAGGTCCAAAATCGTTTCTTATTATTCTATACATCAAAATTAGATCGCCCCTTAGTCTGCGACAGGACAGAGTAAAGAGGTCCAGATTTTCAATTCGTTCATTGTATGGTAAACCCCGTACTTCTGCAATTGCACGGGTAGCTACTCTCTGTACTTCTCCCAGGATATCCGAGTCACCTTTTAGACAGGGGCTTTCAGCCTGAACGCAGTTCTCAAGCCTAGTTCTCACTAAGGATGTATATACTGTGGTGAACATGGTAGTATCTAACTTAGTGAATGTCAGCCTTAAAGCACAGGGGATTCTAAACCGATTAGCTGCGACCTCCCGGCAATGGGCCGTCGTCTTAAGATCATGACTCACTGTCACCCCAAGATCCTTATGAGACTGGACCACGGGTATATGCACTTCCCCTATGTTGTACCTATTAACCTTTGAGTCCCCATTATGCATGTAGACACGCTTTGCCGCGTTGATAGGCATCAGCCACTCTTTAGACCAGCTAATCATATTATTTAAGTCTGCCTGAAGAGCACATGCGTCTGTATCTCCAGTTATTGCTCGCCAGATCTTTACATCGTTAGCGTACAATAACATTGGAGACTGTACTATACTTGGAAGATAATTTACACACATTATAAAAAGTAAAGGACCTAGGACGGAACCTTGAGGCACTCCACTAAGTACTGGTCTCCAGATGGAGCAATTGGGATTTATTCTCACTCTCCGTTTACGACCTACTAGGAAATCCTTAATCCATTTTAAGAGA